TAAAAAAAAAAAAAAAAAAAAAAAAAAAAAAAAAAATTCAAAAGTGCTTCACACTTTCAATGCTTCAATCAATTTCATTACTGGACTTGTTCCAACCATATCAGATCCATTTAATAAAATACCAAAACTATCAACATCATAGAAATAAAACGGGAACATTTCCTTTCCCTTTGCCAAACCCTACATCTCCAACTATTCTCTAAATATTATAATGTTAAATTTTAACCATCTGAACATAAATTGATTTTTTTCTATTTCATCAATCTTTATCTAAAGAATGAGTAGGTCAAATTTTCTTATTTCTCCCTTCCATTGTTATGCTTAACTTTACTAAAAAGGCTGCACTGATCCTAAATCTGACTTGAAACTGGTTCCCTAAAGGATTCCAAGAATAAACATTAATCAGTCCTTAAAAAACAAATACTTAGATTGTAACATGTCTTTCTGGTGAAAAAGATATGGCTTTCTATAGACTAACACCTCTATTCTCAACCACTAAAGTAATCTGATAAAAGGTAAAAGAAAAAAAATGTTGACAGCATCAAAGAACTGCTAAGGCAACCAAGATGTGCAGGACCAAAGTCATAAAAAAATTTTTAACGATAAAAATAACCCAACACTGATTTTTTTCCTCAGTATATTTATCAAGTCTGGGCACAGAGCAAGACAAGAATCTGGGCAAAGGCCTAGATAGAACACTACTACGAAGCAAGCAAAAAAGCAAACAAATAAATACTAGCAGCATTTTGACAATCTCTTGAGGACAGAGGTAAAAATAATAGACAAAGGTTCAAAATATACTAAATCAAAGGAACATGACCTCAAATTCTACCATTTTCCTTTAAATGTCTGATAAAAATTTAAACGTCAGATAATAAGAGGGTAGAAAGCCACAGAAAAGCAAAGAAGAATATTCAAAAAGTTCATAATACTCTGGTTAAGATTAATTAGAATTTAGAGCCCACAAATGGGAAAAAGTCCAAATGAACACCTGAAAGATCTCAGTGAGAACCTTCATGAATGGCTACTCTTTAACAGCAAGGCAAACAAGGAGGATGAGGCTAGGGCTCCAGCCAGGCAAGGTGGTGCATATATGCAATGCTACCAGCTTAAGAAGCTGAGACTGAAAGACTGCTTTGAGGCCTACTTTGGCAGATTAGCAAGATCCTGTCTCAAAATGTAAAAAGGGGCTATGCACCTATTCTAGTAGTCTCTAGGTTCTATCCCTAGCACCACAGACAAATTAAAAAAAAAAAAATTATCTGAGAAAAAAATTGGTCTTGCAGAGAGTCTCAGGTTAGAGTATAGGATTCACCAAAGGACAAAGTCTAAGTTCATCTGACTGGCTTGAAAGGGAGACAGAAAAGAACAATCAGAGGCAGCAGATCCATTTGAAAACAAGAATCCATTCTGAACTCACTTCCCAGTGGCAACATGCCTTCAGGCTATTTTCCTAGGAAAGGAAAAGGTAAACCAGCTATAGAAGAAAACAGTATTATCTGGCGCCTCTAAGTGTTTATACACACATTTTCCAACACTTAACCCAAGATTATTAGGCACAGCACTACAACCTGAATAATCACTGGCAAATACAAAAGAAAGGCCTGTATGAGATATCAATCAAAGGCCATTAAATATGTCTCCAAATTAAGCCACTTTCCTCAATATCCCTTCTTTCACCACTTTCTTTTGAAAGAACAAGTAGTTCTAATATTGAACAGAGACAAGATTTTAAGAAAAAGAAAAAAAACAATATGTTTGAGTTCAAAGCAAACAGAAAAGTATGACACTAAGCTTCCCAGGGGCCATCATCAAAGAGAGTTTAATAAACTGTAAGATTTATTTAGTCACTAAAAAAAGATCAGATATTCATGACAAACTTGGTATTTTTAAAAACCTGACACAGGTGAAAACTTCCTCCATGTTCTCTCATAAATACAGTATTGTATCATAAGATGGAATTATTTCAAACAAAATCATGATGCCATTTCATTAGACATCCCTTAATACAAGTCAGTGACAACCTCAGCAATACAAGGGATGGTGTCTGGTTCTAAGATCCAATTTGGAAAACATAAGAGTTAATCAAAAAATACAATGTGTTAAATTTTTAAAAATTGTATTACACTAAGACACACTGGAATTCATCCTTCTCAAAACACTCTCCCTTGCTTCAAGTACCTGTATCTCATCATTCTTGGAACCTTCTAAAGCAGTTCCAGAAGTACTCTTTCCTGTGTTTAGTTGTACTTTTCTGGCTGCCTCAATGACCTCAATTGATTCAAAAGGGTGGATATGGCACTATGCAACTTGCAACTTTTTACCAAGGTCAAAATAACCATGACAGTGTGGCAAGCAGCTCAATTAGGTAGCAATATTATAGCCAGTCAGGCAGCGCCAGGATCTCAGGAGCCAGTAAGGAGGACAAGATAGCTTGCAATCACAAGATAGGCTCTCCTGCTGTGGGCCAGAACTCTAGACAAAAGATCAAGCAAATGCATACTTCCCTAGAGATAAGCATCCACCCATTCCTGACTGACATCCTAAATAGGTCTCTACAGCCTTTAAGAAGCCAAAAAGAGTCACTGACCCAACCCCCTAAAAGAAAAGCCCCTGTTCTATTTTTGTGCCTGCCTATGTGACTTGTTTGCCCATTTGATCCCAATTTAACTGAGCAATTGTACTTGCAATCTTATCGGTTGACCATAGTTTTGTTCCACCTCATGCCCACCTTGAGAGGTTCCATGTTTTCCACATTAGATCTGCCTCATCTCATGGTTTTGCTCTATAAAAAAAAAAAAAAAAAAAAAAAAAAAAAAAAAAAACATAATTCCATGGCAAATGTCTTGAGTCCCCTTTCTGTCCTTTTCTGGGACAGTAGCTTTTCTTTCCCTCAATAAAAAAAATTCTGCTCTTAACCTCCCTTGTTCATGAAATTCACTCTTTGGTTTTTCAGAACATGAATGTATCCCAGTATCTTTCAGGTTAGGAGTTTCATTTCTCTATATCAAATTATATCAAAGGGAAGTTGGACACAAAGACAAAAGAATCCTTCTTTCTTAATTAAACAGTATTTTATTTACTTCTAAAAATAAATGCATATGGAATTAAATTAAATCTCATAAATTCATACCTAGTTTTTCTTCAGCTATCAGGTTACAGTGTAAATATAATAAAGGATATATATATTTTGCACCTATGTTCCTTACTTGAAAATGCTATTTGATTTTCTGGTTCTTTTAAGTTAGCTATCAAAAGCCAAATCAGGAAATACCTAAAAAATAACAGTAATAATAATAATAA